TGATACTTTAATTACGCAAACAGGCAGGATTTTGCAGATTATGCAGAAGTATGCTTCAGGGAATTTGGTGACAGGGTTAAGCACTGGATTACATTAAATGAGCCAGTGCTATATAGTACTCTAGGTTATGGAAGTGGTGGATCCCCACCCAATAGATGCTCCAAGTGGTTTGCTAACTGCACTGCTGGTGATTCTACTACTGAGCCCTATGTGGTTACACACCACTTCATTCTTGCTCATGCTGCAACAGTAAAAGTGTACAGGGAGAAGTTTCAGGTTAATGCATTATTATTATTAAAGGAAAAATGTGTTTTTAGTTCCTATTCTTCCCAACAAACTTGTTTATGGTACCTGCATTTTCAAACTGATGAATTTAGTCCCTCCTCATGTTAAAACTTAACATTTAGTGATAGTTTTTTACCATTACAAAGTTGAGAGAAGAACTCAATTCACATATTTTCAGAAGTTGGAGTATTAAATTGATCAGTTTGAAAGTAGAGGGATCAAAGTCAAGTTTGATTGAGAGTATAGGGACCAAAAGCACATTTTTTCCTTATTTTATATTGGGAAAAATCTATAGATAGTACCAAAATACAATATATATAAGTGGGGGAAATTCTCACCTTAAAAACTGTATTTTGAGATGGATGTGTGAGGCTCTTACAAAACTGGTTAGCATTTAAGACAGAAATCATGCAATATGTGATTAGTACTAGATTAAGTGACTGTGAGTGATTTTCTAATAGGTTTCTCAGAAGGGTCAAATTGGGGTAACATTGAATTCTGCCTGGGTTGTGCCACTTTCTCAATCAAAAGAGGACAGAGAAGCTGCATATCGAGGTCTTGCTTTTATGTATGACTGGTAAGTGTCCTTGCCACTAAATCAGTAACAGACTTAAGTTTGAATTTTTATTTTCAGTAACACCAATTTCTCAGTATTCTAATAAATCAACTAGCATTTTGATTGCAAATTCTGTTTTGCTGCACCAGATTTATCCTGGGTTTTAGTACCTTGATAAATCAAAAGCATTTGTTGTTTGCTTCTTAACATTTATTATGAGAACCAAGTATATCTAGCAACCAATTCATGTTTTAACAACTAATCAAAACCAAACTATCATTTTCCAGTTAACAAGCATGAATACACAACAACTCCCAAGTTTTTAACATTTTCTGTGACACAGTTAGGTCTAACTCATCTTTTTGCATTCATTCAAGGTTTATGGAACCACTTTATTCCGGTACATATCCCACCATAATGGTTAAGAATGTTGGAGGACGTTTGCCAAAGTTTACCAGAAGCGAATATTTGATGGTTAAAGGGTCCTTTGATTTCATAGGGTTAAATTATTACACTTCAACTTATGCAACTAGCAATCCTTGCCCACGCGAAAGACCAACTGCCTTTACTGATGCTTGCGTTAGATTTACAGGTAAGCCATTAGAACTGAAGCTCATACATTCTTTCCAGTTAACTTCTATTGAATTTTCCTCATAAGCTTGCTTACTCATGGTCCATTTTTGTTGCACTTGCATCAGCTCAAAGAAATGGAGTTCTCATTG